CGATCCGGAGTCTGAGACCAGGAAAGGCAGCGGGCAGAGATGATCTCCCAAGCGAAATGCTGAGGGAGGGTGGCGTTTGTGCACAGACTGCCCTATTTGACATCATAACAACAGACTGGACCACTGGACGGGTTCCGCAGGATTGGAAGGATGCCCTGGTGGTCCCCCTCTTTAAGAAGGGGGACCGCACAGACTGTAACAACTACAGGGGCATCTCACTCCTCAGTGTGCCGGGAAAGGTCCTGGCAAGGATTATTCAGCATCGCCTTGCCAGGCACGCTGAGGAGAGGCTTGCGGAGCCCCAATGCGGTTTCAGGAAAGGGCGGTCCTGCACAGATGCCATATTTTCCGTCCGTCTGCTACAGCAGAGGTGTAGGGAATTCCAACAAGACCTACATCTCTGCTTTATTGACCTGGTCAAGGCCTATGATACCATCAGTAGGCCTGGGCTCTGGGTTGTTCCTCGTGCTTTTGGAGTACCTGACCCTCTGCTCACGATCATTAAGGACCTTCATGATGGTGAGCGGGGCCGGGTAAAACTACGTGGCCGGGAGTCAGAGCCATTCCCTGTACACCTTGGGGTGCGACAGGGATGTCCTCTGGCTCCCACATTATTTAACATCTATTTTGACCACGTAGTTCGTTAAGCTTTCAATAGCTGTACCGGAGGAATTTCTATCTGGTACAGATATAATGGGAGGCTGATCGATGCCCGGGTGCGGTCAAGGGATGGCTCCCTATTGCTCAACCACGTTATGTATGCCGATGATTTGGTAATAGCTGCTCATTCAGAGGAGGAGTTGGAGGCGCTGCTGCTGAGACTGGAGCGTGCCACTAAGAGATGGGGCCTTACCATCAGCCCCACCAAAACTAAACACCTGCCTGGGTATTTTGTACCATCGGACACTCCACCCCCACAACTCCCAATCGGTGATGGGGCAGTTGTGGAGAGAGTGTAGAGTTTCCCATACCTGGGCAGTGTGCTTATGACCGGCTCCAGTTTAACAGCAGAAGTCTCACTCCGAATCAGTCGAGCGGCAATATCTTTTCATCGGTTGCGTAACGCTGTGTGGAAGCTACCTGGTCTGTCGCTCCGCACTAAGCTTCAGGTCTTCTCGGCCACGGTCATTCCCTCCCTTCTCTACGCTTGCGAAACGTGGACCCCCCTAATGGAACATCTTTGCCGGTTAGAAACATTTAGGCTGGCCTGCCTACGATCCATCCTGGGTTTAACCAGACTGGATTGTGTGAGGAGCTCACAAATCCTTGAAAGATCTGGGCAGGGTCCCATCGGTGAGCTCCTCCGGCAGGCAAGGCTGCGATGGCTGGGTCATGTTGCCCGCATGCCCAGCCACCGCATGCCGAAACAGCTTTTGTTTGGTCGGATTGAGGGGGTTAAGCGGGCGCGGCACGGGCTAGAGAAGAGATGGAGTGATGTGGTACAGGAGGACGTGGAGCTGAGTGGACTTGCCGATGACTGGTACCAGCGGTGTCAAGATCGACCTCTGTGGAGGAGGCTCGTGAAGGATGCTACTGGGCAGTTGGAGGCAGTCGCCCTCCAACAACAACGGAGGGCGGAGGAGCGACGCTCAGAACAACGAGCGGAGCGCCGGGTGGCTAAAGCACAGCAGGTTGGCACAGTAGGGGGCACAGGTGGTGCATCAGCCAGTCATCTCAGTCAGTCGACCCGTGGCACCTGGGTCTGCCCCGTGACCTCCTGCCAGCGGGCGTTCGACACTTCACGTGGCCTCAGGGTGCACATAGCCTGGCACAAGCGTCGTGGTGACGTCACCGCCACTTAGTGACGAATGGCGGTTGTTGTTGTTGTTGTGTGTGAGTCTCTCTATGTGTGTGAGTCTCTGTGTGTGTGAGAGTCTCTGTGTGTGTGTGTGTGAGTCTCTGTGTGTGTGTGAGTCTCTGTGTGTGAGTCTCTCTGTGTGTGTGTGAGTCTCTCTCTGTGTGTGTGAGTCTCTGTGTGTGTGAGTCTCTCTGTGTGTGCGTGTGTGAGTCTCTCTCTGTGTGTGTCTCTCTCTCTATCTGTGTGAGTCTCTCTCTGTGTGTGTGAGTCTTTCTCTGTGTGTGTGAGTCTCTCTGTGTGTGTGTGAGTCTCTCTCTCTCTCTGTGTGAGTCTCTCTGTGTGTGTGTGAGTCTCTCTCTGTGTGAGTGAGTCTCTCTCTGTGTGTGTGAGTCTCTGTGTGTGTGAGTCCCTCTCTCTGTGTGAGTCTCTCTCTCTGTCTCTGTGTGTGTGAGTCTCTCTCTCTGTGTGAGTCTCTCTCTCTGTCTCTGTGTGTGTGAGTCTGTGTGTGTGTGAGTCTCTCTGTGTGTGTGTGAGTCTGTGTGTGTGTGAGACTCTCTGTGTGTGTGACTCTCGGTGTGAGTCTCTGTGTGTGTGTGTGAGTCTCTGTGTGTGTGTGTGACTATCTGTGTGTGTGTGTGAGTCTCTGTGTGTGTGAGTCTCTCTGTGTGTGTGTGTCTCTCTGTGTGTGTGAGACTCTCTCTCTCTGTGTGTGAGTCTGTGTGTGTGTGTGTGTGAGTCTCTGTGTGTGTGTGTGAGTCTCTGTGTGTGTGTGTGAGTCTCTGTGTGTGTGTGTGACTATCTGTGTGTGTGTGTGAGTCTCTGTGTGTGTGAGTCTCTCTGTGTGTGTGAGTCTCTCGGTGTGTGTGAGACTCTCTCTCTCTGTGTGTGAGTCTGTGTGTGTGTGAGTCTCTCTCTTTCTCTGTGTGTGAGTCTCTGTGTGTGTGTGAGTCTCTCTCCCTCTGTGTGAGTCTCTCTCTGTCTGTGTGTGTGAGTGAGTCTCTCTCTCTCTCTGTGTGAGTCTCTGTGTGTGTGTGTGAGCCTCTCTCCCTCTCTCTGTGAGTCTCTCTCTGTCTGTGTGTGTGTGAGTCTCTCTCTCTGTGAGTCTCTCTCTGTGTGTGAGTCTCTCTGTGTTTGTGAGTCTCTCTGTGTGTGTGAGTCTCTCTCTCTCTCTGTGTGTGTGTGAGTCTCTGTGTGTGTGAGTCTCTCTGTGTGTGTGAGTCTCTCTCTCTCTCTGTGAGTGAGTCACTCTCTCTCTGTGTGAGTCTCTCTCTCTGTGTGAGTCTCTCTCTCTGTGTGTGTGAGTCTCTGTGTGTGTGAGTCTCTCTGTGTGTGTGAGTCTCTCCCTCTCTGTGAGTGAGTCTCTCTCTCTCTGTGTGAGTCTCTCTCTCTGTGTGAGTCTCTCTCTCTCTCTCTCTGTGAGTGAGTCACTCTCTCTCTGTGTGAGTCTCTCTCTCTCTCTGTGAGTGAGTCACTCTCTCTGTGTGTGAGTCTCTCTCTCTGTGTGAGTCTCTGTGTGTGTGTGTGAGACTCTCTGTGTGAGTCTCTCTCTCTCTGTGAGTTTCTCTCTCTCTGTGTGAGTCTCTCTGTGTGAGTCTCTCTCTCTCTCTGTGTGTGTGAGTCTCTGTGTGTGTGAGTCTCTCTGTGTGTGTGTGAGTCTCTCTCTCTCTCTGTGTGAGTCTCTCTGTGTGTGTGTGAGTCTCTCTCTGTGTGAGTGAGTCTCTCTCTGTGTGTGTGAGTCTCTGTGTGTGTGAGTCCCTCTCTCTGTGTGAGTTTCTCTCTCTGTCTCTGTGTGTGTGAGTCTCTCTCTCTGTGTGAGTCTCTCTCTCTGTCTCTGTGTGTGTGAGTCTGTGTGTGTGTGAGTCTCTCTGTGTGTGTGTGAGTCTCTGTGTGTGTGTGTGTGAGTCTCTGTGTGTGTGTGTGAGTCTCTGTGTGTGTGTGTGAGTCTCTGTGTGTGTGTGTGACTATCTGTGTGTGTGTGTGAGTCTCTGTGTGTGTGAGTCTCTCTGTGTGTGTGAGTCTCTCGGTGTGTGTGAGACTCTCTCTCTCTGTGTGTGAGTCTGTGTGTGTGTGTGTGTGAGTCTCTGTGTGTGTGTGTGAGTCTCTGTGTGTGTGTGTGAGTCTCTGTGTGTGTGTGTGACTATCTGTGTGTGTGTGTGAGTCTCTGTGTGTGTGAGTCTCTCTGTGTGTGTGAGTCTCTCGGTGTGTGTGAGACTCTCTCTCTGTGTGTGTGAGTCTGTGTGTGTGTGAGTCTCTCTCTTTCTCTGTGTGTGAGTCTCTGTGTGTGTGTGAGTCTCTCTCCCTCTGTGTGAGTCTCTCTCTGTCTGTGTGTGTGAGTGAGTCTCTCTCTCTCTCTGTGTGAGTCTCTGTGTGTGTGTGTGAGCCTCTCTCCCTCTCTCTGTGAGTCTCTCTCTGTCTGTGTGTGTGTGAGTCTCTCTCTCTGTGAGTCTCTCTCTGTGTGTGAGTCTCTCTGTGTTTGTGAGTCTCTCTGTGTGTGTGAGTCTCTCTCTCTCTCTGTGTGTGTGTGAGTCTCTGTGTGTGTGAGTCTCTCTGTGTGTGTGAGTCTCTCTCTCTCTCTGTGAGTGAGTCACTCTCTCTCTGTGTGAGTCTCTCTCTCTGTGTGAGTCTCTCTCTCTGTGTGTGTGAGTCTCTGTGTGTGTGAGTCTCTCTGTGTGTGTGAGTCTCTCCCTCTCTGTGAGTGAGTCTCTCTCTCTCTGTGTGAGTCTCTCTCTCTGTGTGAGTCTCTCTCTCTCTCTCTCTGTGAGTGAGTCACTCTCTCTCTGTGTGAGTCTCTCTCTCTCTCTGTGAGTGAGTCACTCTCTCTGTGTGTGAGTCTCTCTCTCTGTGTGAGTCTCTGTGTGTGTGTGTGAGACTCTCTGTGTGAGTCTCTCTCTCTCTGTGAGTTTCTCTCTCTCTGTGTGAGTCTCTCTGTGTGAGTCTCTCTCTCTCTCTGTGTGTGTGAGTCTCTGTGTGTGTGAGTCTCTCTGTGTGTGTGAGTCTCTCTGTGTGTGTGAGTCTCTCCCTCTCTGTGAGTGAGTCACTCTCTCTCTGTGTGAGTCTCTCTCTCTGTGTGAGTCTCTCTCTCTCTCTCTCCCTCTCCGTGTGTGTGAGTCTCCTCGCTCTACCATCACCACCACCACCACACCCGGTCAGCACCTCACCGGCGCCCCGTTGGTTCACCCACCCGTCCTCCTTCCCTGTGTAGGGAGCCGCATTGGCTGTGGAGAACGCTCCGGCATTCGTCAAGTTCATGATGGACACCGCTTTCACATTGCTGGGCGCCGAGCCGCTGATTCGTCTGCGTGTCCGTGACCTCCTATGGGGATACTCTGACCCATTCATCGACTTCGTGCACAATAACTTTCCATCCATCCTGCCCAACAGCAAGTTCGGGTTCTTCATGGACGTGAGTGGCGTGAGTGAGTGGGTGGGTGAGTGGGTGAGTGGCGTGGTGAGTGGGTGGGTGAGTGAGTGGGTGGGTGAGTGAGTGGGTGAGTGGGTGAGTGAGTGGGTGGGTGAGTGGGTGAGTGAGTGGGTGAGTGGGTGGGTGGGTGGGTGAGTGGGTTGGTGAGTGGGTGGTTGGGTGGGTGAGTGGGTGAGTGGGTGAGTGAATGGGTGAGTGAGTGAGTGAGTGGGTGGGTGAGTGAGTGGGTGGGTGGGTGGGTGAGTGGGTGAGTGGCGTGGTGGGTGAGTGGATGAGTGAGTGGGTGGGTGGGTGAGTGGGTGAGTGGGTGAGTGGGTGAGTGAGTGGGTGGATGAGTGAGTGAGTGAGTGGGTGGGTGAGTGGGTGAGTGAGTGGGTGGGTGGGTGAGTGGGTGGGTGAGTGGGTGAGTGGGTGGGTGGGTGAGTGAGTGGGTGAGTGGGTGAGTGGGTGGCGTGGTGAGTGAGTGGGTGAGTGAATGGGTGAGTTAGTGAGTGGGTAGGTTAGTGAGTGGGTGGGTGGGTGGGTGAGTTAGTGAGTTGGTGGGTGGGTGGGTGAGTGGGTGAGTGAGTGAGTGGGTGGGTGGGTGAGTGGGTGGGTGAGTGAGTGGGTGGGTGGGTGAGTGGGTGAGTGGGTGGGTGGGTGAGTGGGTGGCGTGGTGAGTGAGTGGGTGGGTGAGTGGGTGAGTTAGTGAGTGGGTGGGTTAGTGAGTGGGTGGGTGAGTGGGTGAGTTAGTGAGTTGGTGGGTGGGTGGGTGAGTGGGTGAGTGAGTGAGTGGGTGGGTGGGTGGGTGAGTGGGTGGGTGAGTGAGTGGGTGGGTGGGTGAGTGAGTGAATGGGTGAGTGAGTGGGTGAGTGAGCGGGTGGGTGGGTGAGTGGGTGGGTGAGTGAGTGAGTGGGTGGGTGGGTGGGTGAGTGAGTGAGTGGGTGGGTGAGTGGGTGGGTGGGTGGGTGAGTGGGTGGGTGAGTGCGTGGGTGGGTGAGTGGGTGGGTGAGTGGGTGGCGTGGTGGGTGAGTGGGTGGGTGAGTGAGTAAGTGAGTGGGTGGGTGAGTGGGTGGGTGGGGGGGTGAGTGGGTGAGTGGGTGGGTGAGTGGGTGGGTGGGTGGGTGAGTGAGTGGGTGGGTGGGTGAGTGGGTGAGTGAGTGGGTGAGTGGGTGGGTGAGTAGGTGAGTTGGTGGGTGAGTGAGTGGGTGAGTGAGTGAGTGAGTGGGTGGGTGAGTGGGTGGGTGGGTGGGTGAGTGGGTGGGTGAGTGAGTGGGTGGGTGGGTGAGTGAGTGAATGGGTGAGTGAGTGGGTGAGTGAGCGGGTGGGTGGGTGAGTGGGTGGGTGAGTGAGTGAGTGGGTGGGTGGGTGGGTGAGTGAGTGAGTGGGTGGGTGAGTGAGTGGGTGGGTGGGTGAGTGGGTGGGTGAGTGCGTGGGTGGGTGAGTGGGTGGGTGGGTGAGTGGGTGGCGTGGTGGGTGAGTGGGTGGGTGAGTGAGTGAGTGGGTGGGTGGGTGAGTGGGTGGGTGGGTGGGTGAGTGGGTGAGTGGGTGGGTGAGTGGGTGGGTGGGTGACTGACTGAGTGGGTGAGTGAGTGGGTGAGTTAGTGAATGGGTGAGTGGGTGGGTGAGTGGGTGGGTGGGTGGGTGAGTGAGTGAGTGGGTGGGTGGATGGGTGAGTAGGTGAGTGAGTGGGTGAGTGGGTGGGTGAGTGAGTGAATGGGTGAGTGAGTGGGTGAGTGAGTGGGTGGGTGAGTGAGTGGGTGGGTGGGTGGGTGGGTGAGTGGGTGGGTGAGTGGGTGGGTGGGTGAGTGGGTGGGTGGGTGAGTGGGTGAGTGGGTGGGTGAGTGAGTGGGTGAGTGAGTGAGTGAGTGGGTGGGTGAGTGAGTGAGTGAGTGGGTGGGTGAGTGAGTGGGTGAGTGAGTGAGTGGGTGGGTGAGTGAGTGAGTGGGTGGGTGAGTGAGTGGGTGAGTGGGTGGGTGAGTTAGTGAATGGGTGAGTGAGTGGGTGAGTGGGTGGGTGGGTGGGTGAGTGAGTGAGTGGGTGGGTGGATGGGTGAGTAGGTGAGTGAGTGGGTGAGTGGGTGGGTGAGTGAGTGAATGGGTGAGTGAGTGGGTGAGTGAGTGGGTGGGTGAGTGAGTGGGTGGGTGGGTGGGTGGGTGGGTGGGTGAGTGGGTGGGTGAGTGGGTGGGTGGGTGAGTGGGTGGGTGGGTGAGTGGGTGAGTGGGTGGGTGAGTGAGTGGGTGAGTGAGTGAGTGAGTGGGTGGGTGAGTGAGTGAGTGAGTGGGTGGGTGGGTGGGTGAGTGAGTGGGTGAGTGGGTGGGTGAGTGAGTGAATGGGTGAGTGAGTGGGTGAGTGAGTGAATGGGTGAGTGAGTGGGTGAGTGAGTGGGTGGGTGGGTGGGTGAGTGAGTGGGTGGGTGGGTGAGTGGGTGGGTGAGTGGGTGAGTGGGTGGGTGAGTGGGTGGGTGGGTGAGTGAGTGGGTGGGTGGGTGGGTGGGTTGGTGGGTGGGTGGGTGAGTGGGTGAGTGGGTGGGGGGGTGAGTGGGTGGGTGAGCGAGTGGGTGGGTGGGTGGGTGAGTGAGTGGGTGGGTGGGTGGGTGAGTGGGTGAGTGGGTGGATGAGTGAATGAATGGGTGAGTGAGTGGGTGAGTGAGTGGGTGGGTGGGTGAGTGAGTGGGTGAGTGAGTGAGTGGGTGGGTGGGTGAGTGGGTGGGTGGGTGGGTGAGTGAGTGGGTGGGTGAGTGAGTGGGTGGGTGGGTGAGTGGGTGGGTGGGTGGGTGAATGGGTTAGTGAGTTGGTGAGTGGGTGGGTGAGTGGGTGAGTTAGTGAGTTGGTGGGTGGGTGGGTGGATGAGTGAGTGGGTGGGTGAGTGGGTGAGTGGGTGGGTGGGTGGGTGAGTGAGGGAGTGAGTGGGTGGGTGAGTGGGTGAGTGGGTGAGTGGGTGGGTGGGTGGGTGAGTGAGTGAGTGGGTGGGTGGGTGAGTGGGTGAGTGGGTGGGTGAGTGAGTGGGTGGGTGGGTGAGTGGGTGAGTGAGTGGGTGAGTGGGTGGGTGGGTGAGTGGGTGGGTGAGTGAGTGGGTGGGTGGGTGGGTGAGTGAGTGGGTGGGTGGGTGGGTGAGTGGGTGAGTGGGTGGGTGAGTGAGTGGGTGAGTGGGTGGGTGAGTGAGTGGGTTGGTGAGTGGGTGGGTGAATGAGTGGGTGGGTGGGTGGGTGAGTGAGTGAGTGGGTGGCTGGGTGGGTGAGTGGGTGAGTGGGTGGGTGAGTGAGTGGGTGAGTGGGTGGGTGAGTGAGTGGGTGGGTGGGTGAGTGGGTGAGTGGGTGAGTGGGTGGGTGGGTGAGTGGGTGGGTGAGTGAGTGGGTGGGTGGGTGAGTGAGTGAGTGGGTGGGTGGGTGGGTGAGTGGGTGAGTGAGTGGGTGAGTGGGTGGGTGGGTGAGTGGGTGGGTGAGTGAGTGGGTGGGTGGGTGGGTGAGTGAGTGAGTGGGTGGGTGGGTGGGTGAGTGGGTGAGTGAGTGGGTGAGTGGGTGGGTGAGTGAGTGAATGGGTGAGTGAGTGGGTGAGTGAGTGGGTGAGTGAGTGAGTGGGTGGCTGGGTGCGGGAGTGGGTGAGTGGGTGGGTGAGTGAGTGGGTGAGTGGGTGGGTGAGTGAGTGGGTTGGTGAGTGGGTGGGTGAGTGAGTGGGTGGGTGGGTGGGTGAGTGGGTGGCGTGGTGGGTGAGTGAGTGGGTGGGTGAGTGGGTGAGTGGGTGGGTGAGTGAGTGAATGGGTGAGTGAGTGGGTGAGTGAGTGGGTGGGTGGGTGAGTGGGTGGGTGAGTGAGTGGGTGGGTGGGTGAGTGAGTGGGTGGGTGGGTGAGTGGGTGGGTGGGTGAGTGAGTGGGTGGGTGAGTGGGTGAGTGGGTGAGTGGGTGGGTGGGTGAGTGGGTGGGTGGGTGGGTGAGTGGGTGGGTGGGTGGGTGAGTGAGTGGCTGGGTGGTTGGGTGGGTGAGTGAGTGGGTGAGTGGGTGGGTGGGTGAGTCAGTGAGTGGGTGGGTGGGTGAGTGGGTGAGTGAGTGAGTGAGTGGGTGAGTGAGTGAGTGAGTGGGTGAGTGAGTGAGTTGGTGGGTGAGTGAGTGAGTGGGTGGGTGGGTGAGTGAGTGAGTTGGTGAGTGGGTGAGTGGGTGGCTGGGTGAGTGAGTGGCTGGGTGAGTGAGTGGCTGGGTGAGTGAGTGGTTGAGTGAGTGGCTGGGTGAGTGAGTGGCTGGGTGAGTGAGTGAGTGGGTGAGTGGGTGAGTGGCTGGGTGAGTGGCTGGGTGGGTGGGTGAGTGGGTGAGTGGGTGGGTGAGTGAGTGAGTGGCTGGGTGAGTGAGTGGCTAAGTGGGTGAGTGGCTGGGTGAGTGGCTGGGTGCGTGAGTGGCTGGGTGAGTGGCTGGGTGAGTGAGTGGCTGGGTGAGTGAGTGGCTGAGTGGGTGAGTGGCTGGGTGGGTGAGTGGGTGAGTGGGTGGGCGAGTGAGTGGGTGAGTGGGTGGGTGAGTGAGTGGGTTGGTGAGTGGGTGGGTGAGTGAGTGGGTGGGTGGGTGGGTGAGTGGGTGGCGTGGTGGGTGAGTGAGTGGGAGGGTGAGTGGGTGAGTGGGTGGGTGAGTGAGTGAATGGGTGAGTGAGTGGGTGAGTGAGTGGGTGGGTGGGTGAGTGGGTGGGTGAGTGAGTGGGTGGGTGGGTGAGTGAGTGGGTGGGTGGGTGGGTGGGTGAGTGGGTGGGTGGGTGAGTGAGTGGGTGGGTGAGTGGGTGAGTGGGTGAGTGGGTGGGTGGGTGAGTGGGTGGGTGGGTGGGTGAGTGAGTGAGTGGGTGGGTGAGTGGGTGAGTGGGTGGGTGGGTGGGTGAGTGGGTGGGTGGGTGGGTGAGTGAGTGGCTGGGTGGGTGGGTGGGTGAGTGAGTGAGTGAGTGGGTGGGTGAGTGAGTGAGTGAGTGGGTGAGTGAGTGAGTGGGTGGGTGAGTGAGTGAGTGGGTGGGTGGGTGAGTGAGTGAGTTGGTGAGTGGGTGAGTGGGTGGCTGGGTGAGTGAGTGGCTGGGTGAGTGAGTGGCTGGGTGAGTGAGTGAGTGGGTGAGTGGCTGGGTGAGTGGCTGGGTGAGTGGCTGAGTGAGTGAGTGAGTGGCTGGGTGAGTGGGTGAGTGGGTGGGTGGGTGAGTGAGTGAGTGGCTGGGTGAGTGAGTGGCTGGGTGAGTGGCTGGGTGCGTGAGTGGCTGGGTGAGTGAGTGGCTGGGTGAGTGAGTGGCTGGGTGGGTGAGTGGGTGGGTGAGCCGGTGGGTGAGTGAGTGAGTGGCTGGGTGAGTGAGTGGCTGTGTGAGTGAGTGGCGGGGTGGGTGAGTGGCTGGGTGAGTGAGTGGCTGGGTGAGTGAGTGGCTGGGTGGGTGAGTGGGTGGGTGAGTGAGTGGCTGGGTGAGTGAGTGGCTGGGTGAGTGAGTGGGTGAGTGGGTGGTTGAGTGAGTGAGTGAGTGGCTGGGTGGGTGAGTGGGTGAGTGAGTGGCTGGGTGGGTGAGTGATTGGGTGAGTGAGTGGCTGGGTGGGTGAGTGGGTGGGTGAGTGAGTGGCTGGGTGGGTGAGTGGGTGGGTGGATGAATGAGTGAGTGAGTGTATAAGTGAGTGGGTGTAACAGTGAGTGGGTGTAACAGTGAGTGGATGTAACAGTGAGTGGGTATAACAGTGAGTGGATGTAACAGTGAGTGTAACAGTGAGTGAACTCCTTGTTCTCTGTCCTCTCAGTACAACAACTCCAACAATGGCCTCTTCACAGCCTACACCGGCGTCTCCGACATCAGCCAGGCCCACGTCCTCGTCAACTGGAACGGCATGGAGGAGGTGAGACACACAGAGACCCACAGACTCACTCACACAGAGACCCACAGACTCACTCACACAGAGACCCACAGACTCACTCACACAGAGACCCACAGACTCACTCACACAGAGACCCACAGACTCACTCACACAGAGACCCACAGACTCACTCACACAGAGAGCCACAGACTCACTCACACAGAGACCCACAGACTCACTCACACAGAGAGCCACAGACTCACCACTCACACAGAGACCCACAGACTCACTCACACAGAGACCCACAGACTCACTCACTCAGAGACCCACACACTCACACAGAGACCCATAGACTCACTCACACAGAGACCCACAGACTCACTCACACAGAGACCCACAGACTCACTCACACAGAGACCCACAGACTCACTCACACAGAGACCCACAGACTCACTCACACAGAGACCCACAGACTCACTCACACAGAGACCCACAGACTCACTCACACAGAGACCCACAGACTCACTCACACAGAGACCCACAGACTCACTCACACAGAGACCCACAGACTCACTCACACAGAGACCCACAGACTCACTCACACAGAGACCCACAGACTCACTCACACAGAGACCCACAGACTCACTCACTCAGAGACCCACACACTCACACAGAGACCCATAGACTCACTCACACAGAGACCCACAGACTCACTCACACAGAGACCCACAGACTCACTCACACAGAGACCCACAGACTCACTCACACAGAGACCCACAGACTCACTCACACAGAGACCCACAGACTCACTCACACAGAGACCCACAGACTCACTCACACAGAAACCCACAGACTCACTCACACAGAGACCCACAGACTCACTCACACAGAGACCCACAGACTCACTCACACAGAGACCCACAGACTCACTCACACAGAGACCCACAGACTCACTCACAGAGAGACCCACAGACTCACTCACACAGAAACCCACAGACTCACTCACACAGAGCCCCACAGACTCACTCACACAGAGACCCACAGACTCACTCACACAGAGACCCACAGACTCACTCACACAAAGACCCACAGACTCACTCACTCAGAGACCCACACACTCACACAGAGACCCATAGACTCACTCACACAGAGACCCACAGACTCACTAACTCAGAGACCCACACACTCACACAGAGACCCACAGACTCACTCACACAGAGACCCACAGACTCACTCACACAGAGACCCACAGACTCACTCACACAGAGACCCACAGACTCACTCACTCAGAGACCCACACACTCACACAGAGACCCACAGACTCACTCACACAGAGACCCACAGACTCACTCACACAGAGACCCACAGACTCACTAACTCAGAGACCCACACACTCACACAGAGACCCATAGACTCACTCACACAGAGACCCACAGACTCACTCACACAGAGACCCACAGACTCACTCACACAGAGACCCACAGACTCACTCACTCAGAGACCCACAGACTCACACAGAGACCCACAGACTCACTCACACAGAGACCCACAGACTCACTCACACAGAGACCCACAGACTCACTAACTCAGAGACCCACACACTCACACAGAGACCCATAGACTCACTCACACAGAGACCCACAGACTCACTCACACAGAGACCCACAGACTCACTCACACAGAGAGCCACAGACTCACACAGAGACCCACAGACTCACTCACACAGAGACCCACAGACTCACTCACACAGAGACCCACAGACTCACTCACACAGAGACCCACAGACTCACTCACACAGAGACCCACACACTCACACAGAGACCCACAGACTCACTCAAACAGAGACCCACAGACTCACTCACTCAGAGACCTACACACTCACACAGAGACCCACAGACTCACTCACTCAGAGACCCACACACTCACACAGAGACCCACAGACTCACTCACACAGAGACCCACAGACTCACTCACACAGAGACCCACAGACTCACTAATTCAGAGACCCACAGACTCACTCACACAGAGACCCACAGACTCACTCACACAGAGACCCACAGACTCACTCACTCAGAGACCCACACACTCACACAGAGACCCACAGACTCACTCACACAGAGACCCACAGACTCACTCACACAGAGACCCACAGACTCACTAACTCAGAGACCCACACACTCACACAGAGACCCATAGACTCACTCACACAGAGACCCACAGACTCACTCACACAGAGACCCACAGACTCACTCACACAGAGACCCACAGACTCACTCACTCAGAGACCCACACACTCACACAGAGACCCACAGACTCACTCACACAGAGACCCACAGACTCACTCACACAGAGACCCACAGACTCACTAACTCAGAGACCCACACACTCACACAGAGACCCATAGACTCACTCACACAGAGACCCACAGACTCACTCACACAGAGACCCACAGACTCACACAAAGAGCCACAGACTCACACAGAGACCCACAGACTCACTCACACAGAGACCCACAGACTCACTCACACAGAGACCCACAGACTCACTCACACAGAGACCCACAGACTCACTCACACAGAGACCCACAGACTCACTCACACAGAGACCCACACACTCACACAGAGACCCACAGACTCACTCAAACAGAGACCCACAGACTCACTCACTCAGAGACCCACACACTCACACAGAGACCCACAGACTCACTCACTCAGAGACCCACACACTCACACAGAGACCCACAGACTCACTCACACAGAGACCCACAGACTCACTCACACAGAGACCCACAGACTCACTAATTCAGAGACCCACAGACTCACTCACACAGAGACCCACAGACTCACTCACACAGAGACCCACAGACTCACTCACTCAGAGACCCACACACTCACACAGAGACCCACAGACTCACTCACACAGAGACCCACAGACTCACTCACACAGAGACCCACAGACTCACTAACTCAGAGACCCACACACTCACACAGAGACCCATAGACTCACTCACACAGAGACCCACAGACTCACTCACACAGAGACCCACAGACTCACTCACACAGAGACCCACAGACTCACTCACTCAGAGACCCACACACTCACACAGATACCCACAGACTCACTCACACAGAGACCCACAGACTCACTCACACAGAGACCCACAGACTCACTAACTCAGAGACCCACACACTCACACAGAGACCCATAGACTCACTCACACAGAGACCCACAGACTCACTCACACAGAGAGCCACAGACTCACTCACACAGAGAGCCACAGACTCACACAGAGACCCACAGACTCACTCACACAGAGACCCACAGACTCACTCACACAGAGACCCACAGACTCACTCACACAGAGACCCACAGACTCACTCACACAGAGACCCACACACTCACACAGAGACCCACAGACTCACTCAAACAGAGACCCACAGACTCACTCACTCAGAGACCCACACACTCACACAGAGACCCACAGACTCACTCACTCAGAGACCCACACACTCACACAGAGACCCACAGACTCACTCACACAGAGACCCACAGACTCACTCACACAGAGACCCACAGACTCACTAATTCAGAGACCCACACACTCACACAGAGACCCATAGACTCACTCACACAGAGACCCACAGACTCACTCACTCAGAGACCCACACACTCACACAGAGACCCACAGACTCACTCACACAGAGACCCACAGACTCACTCACACAGAGACCCACAGACTCACTAACTCAGAGACCCACACACTCACACAGAGACCCATAGACTCACTCACACAGAGACCCACAGACTCACTCACACAGAGAGCCACAGACTCACTCACACAGAGAGCCACAGACTCACACAGAGACCCACAGACTCACTCACACAGAGACCCACAGACTCACTCACACAGAGACCCACAGACTCACTCACACAGAGACCCACACACTCACACAGAGACCCACAGACTCACTCAAACAGAGACCCACAGACTCACTCACACAGAGACCCACAGACTCACCACACAGAGACCCACAGACTCACACAGAGACCCACAGACTCACTCAAACAGAGACCCACAGACTCACTCACACAGAGACCCACAGACTCACTCACACAGAGACCCACAGACTCACCACACAGAGACCCACAGACTCACACAGAGACCCACAGACTCACTCACACAGACACCCACAGACTCACTCACACAGAGACCCACAGACTCACACACACAGAGACCCACAGACTCACTCACAGCGACACCCACAGACTCACACAGACACACACAGACTCACTCACACAGACACCCACACACTCACTCACACAGAGAGCCACAGACTCACACAGAGACCCACAGACTTACTCACACAGAGACCCACAGACTCACTCACACAGACACCCACACACAGACTCACACAAACACACACAGACTCACTCACACAGACACCCACACACTCACTCACACAGAGACTCACAGACTCACTCACACAGATACTCACAGACTCACTCACACAGATACTCACAGACTCACTCACACAGAGACCCACAGACTCACTCACACAGAGACCCACAGACACCCACAGACTCACTCATGTTTGGGATGGGGACGGGTAGAATCCCATTGTCTAGGAGGTTACTGGATCAGGGTTCACGGCCATGATTTGCTCGCGGCGATCAGAAGTTCGCTCCACTCAATGAGAGCAAATCCAGATGCATGGCTGTGCCAAAGTCCAGCGTTTGGCCCTCTGAGTCTGTACATAGTGCGCGCGCGTGCGTGTGCGTGTGTATGTGTGTACGTGTACGTGTGTGTGTGTACGTGTGTGTGTGTACGTGTGTGTGTGTGTACGTGTGTGTGTGTACGTGTGTGTGTGTGTACGTGTGTGTGTATGTGTACGTGTGTGTGTGTGTGTGTTTCTACGTGTGCATGTGTATGAGTGTGTGTACGTGTGTGTGTATGTATAAGCGTATGTGTGTGTACGTGTGTGTGTATGTATGAGTCTATGTATGAGTATGTGTACGTGTGCGTGTGTGTGTATGTATGAGTG